ACAGTGACAGTGACACCCAAACCCTCCCAGCAAAGCTCCCCTTCCTGAGCCGTGCCCCTCCCTGTCCCTGCAGCCCTGGGTGCCAGAAGGGGCACAGGGAGGGCCTGGCACACAGCTCCAGGTAAATCCCCTTCTCCCTGGTTCCCATTCCTGCAGCATTCCCGGGATCTCACTCCTCATCCAGGACCAAAGGCCGAGCTCRGCGCTGCAGCTCCTTTAGGCAGGGATTTAGCAGGAAGGGCTGCTTATGTAATTCTCACCTTYCAGGATCCTTCCCAGCTCCTGCCTGCATGTTCTGCCAGCCCTGGAAATAACAGATGCTGGCTCCCTCTCTCCTTGACTCAGGACTTCCTGACAGCTGGCACCGAGGCTTTCCTGCGCCCCGTGGCTCCCAGAACAGCCCTGTGCCACCAGGGATKGCAGGGGGAGGAAAAGCTTTCACTGACACCAGAGCTGGGGCACAGACCTGCTTTTCCTGGCACATGGAGAATTTATAATGCAGCGTTTTTCTTTCCCCGTTCATTTGATTAGATAATCAATAAATCAAACCCGGGATGATGGCTSGAAACGGAGCCCCTGATTTACACTGGAAATTAATCCCTCAGTCTTTCCAGTCAGAGCATTCTCAGGGCAAGGTCCATGAAGCAAAGCTAAATTCATCAATTAAATATGACTAGGATGCACTCACAGTCATTTTATGTTTATTCATTACAGGAACAGTTGTCTTGTCTTTCCCTGTTTATGAAGGCAGGCAGCAGCTCTGAAAGAACGGCTGGAATTAARCACCAATGCCATCTTTTTCCATCAGTACTCGCTACACTTTACTCTTTGCCTTTTTCATGAGGCTGCAGCTCCCAAAAGGCAGCAGCCAGCAGCCAGGACTGTTCCTGTTGCTGCAGGAACRGGGACTGCAGGAACAGAGGCTCCATGGAAACTCAGGCAGCAGCCGGGCTGTCACTCCTGATTTCCAGCCAAGAAACCTCAGAGAAAGTTCTCACTGAGGGCTTCCTCCCTGTCCCTCACTCACACACCAGCTCCTCTAATTCCCAAATCACCTGTAATTCTGTTAGCATGGGATAACTGGCCAGTTTTTTCCTGCAGAAATCAATCCTCTCCTTTGTTTGATCAGAASACACAGATTTGGTGCTGTTTGGTGCCCCCATCACTGCTGAGGGCAGTTCTTTGTCAGARCCAGAGGCTGAGCCGTGGACACACAGAGCTCTCCAGGACTCCCTCCTTTCCATCCTCCCCTCCCTGCCTTCTGGGAATCAGTTCCAGGGTTTTTATTGCCCCCTCTAAAGCAATTCAATCTATTTTACGTGCAGRAAGCAGCAGTAAAGCCACCCCCCAGAGCTCCCCACGTCCCCACTGCCCCTGCCCGTGCCTGGCTGCCTACCCTGATTTATTTTATTCATAAAGACACCCCTCTTCCCTGGGAAGAGCTTTCCTTAAGGAGCAGACAAATGTTTTTAATAAGAACCAAGAGCTCAAGCATCATCTTCCTCCCCTTGTGCTCCAGTCTGGAGCTGAATCACGACACTGAAAATCATCTGGAGGAGAGAAAAGCCCCTGGCAGCCCAGCCCCACATCCCAGACTGTCCTAAGGAATTATGGTGCTTCCAGCAGAAAGGGGATTTCTCAGGAGCTGAGGAAGTGTCTGGCTATCACTTCACTGCTTCCTCCTGGTGATTCCCTCTGGAAATCAAGGCCTGCCCTGCTCTGATCTCCTGGAACTCCAGCAATTACCTCAGCCCAAGCACTTGAGCTCCAGGAAAGCTGAAGTGGTGGCTCAGCCCCAACTCCCAATGAGGCAGCACTAAAACCACACAATTTCCTCATTATCAGCACCTCAACAGCAGTGCTGGGACACAAACATCCGCTGTGGAGAGCATTAATGGAGCCTGGGCACTGCMACCCCTCCAAGAGATGGAGCTCAAAGTCCTGACACCTTTTGGGCTCAGGAGGCTCCCAGAGCAGCTCAAAGTTGCCTTTAATGAGGGAGATTTGCTGCTTGTTCTGCTTCATACCTAAACCTGAAACCTGAGCTTTGGCTMAAACATTCTGGGAATTTAACAGCTCAAACATTCTGGGAATTTAACAGCTTCTCCTTCCAGTCACTGATGGTCTCTGCCCATCTCAGGAGCTCTGGTTTGGGTTTTTCCTGGAACAAGGTTTCAGTTTCTGTCTCACTTCACACAGAGACAACTGAGTTACCCAAACAACTCCTTGCCCTGGGTACAGCTTTGTCATTACCACCCTTGCTCTTCGCTCTAACACAACTTCTGACATTTTTTTGAACTTTCAAACCCAACAGTGATGCTCCCCAGGCCCTCGTGGGCATCCAGGCACTCTGTCCCTTGCAAGTTAAAGGTGTCTGTACTGCAAACAGAGCCCAGCTCCTAAACCCCACCCGAGGACAGGGGGACACAGGGACACTGTGGCCTCCCTCCATTTCTCTGCCTCTTTTACCACAGCCAGGAAATTCAGCTGGAATGGCAGAAAGAAATCAGCATCTCTCCTCCTSCAGCCCCTCACTGCCCTTTCTGGGAAATAGGGCCTTCCTTATTCCATKTATTTATTCAAAAACCCCATTAATTTCAACTACAACACAATTTTCCGGATGTAGAGAAGCACAACATTTCAGATGGAACAACTCTGCAGTGCTGCAGGCAAAGCTGGGGATCTGGATGGTTTGTAAATTGTGAGGAGCAGAGTTTTAACTCTGGAGGGATCTGGAACAGAACCTCTCCTCATTCCTACACTGTTTGTAGATTATGAGGAGCAGTTTTTCCTCTGGGGGATCTGGACACAGAATTCCTCATTCCTACTTTGTAGATTTTGAGGAGCAGTTTTTCCTCCGGGCTGTACCCCCGGCCATACCCCAGTGCCTGTGCCACCCTCAGTGACCCCTCTGGTCACCCCTTCTCTCACTGACAGGCAGTGCCACAGCTCCCCAGAGCAGCAGGATGGAAGGAAATCCATTCCTCTGGCACCTCAGACTGCAGGGGAGAGAAGGGAGAAGGGGCAGGGCCAGCTCTGGTACCTTCATGACGGGCTGGGCGAAGTACTTGGCGCTCCAGTCGCAGAATCCCGTCTGCACCGCGGCCGAGATGAAGCTCTTGTGTCCCACGGCATCGTCAGCATCGTCAGCTGTCTGTGG